AAGAAGCAGCCACGGACGCGCCTGTTATGAACAATGTAACGTTAGGTCATCAGTTTAATGATGCAGGCTGCCAGAACTGGACTGAATGAGAAATTACTTTTATGAAGTGCACAAGTGAGAAGATTATGTGGAGGTTGAGCAAGTAGTTTTGAGAATTTCAATTCTGATCTGAGAAATGTACCAAAGCGACTGAGAAAAACTGTAATAGCCTAATTAATTAAATGGTTTCGTGCCGCGCGCGTAAAAATGCGCACAGCGCCTCTCTCAATTTGGAGACGCACTTATTAATCCTGCTGCTGCAGTGATGACTTCAAGTAATAAGCTCGGCTATTTAATAAAGTCATAGCCTACTCTCTAATATATGCAACACTGTAGAGCAAAGTGAAAGAGACAAATTCAGCATATATGAAAGGTGATTTGTGATGTTTGGAGATGTCGGTGTGCAGTGCGCCTCCGTTATTTACGCGCCTTTTGCGCTCTCTGGAGCACTGCAGTTGCTGATGTGTGAGGGGAAATTTATTTTTGACGTGAAGAATACTCCGTCTGTAGTAAATAAGCTTTTAGGCTAATTTTGTTTATATGTCAAAATGTTGCAACAAACTTCCAATGGGCCGAACCACCCCCATAGGGAGCTTAGATCATAAAGACTGAAACCAAACAGGGTAGAGTGGCGCCCCCCAAGCTCAATGTGTATTTACTGACACATAAAATAATATTTTATAGGTTTTTTTGTATCTTGGAAATGGCTATGCTTATGGTAACATAATATAAAGTAAAATAAATACATAGGCTACAGTTGACAAATTAATTTGAATTGAATCAAATGTAAGTTTTAGGAGAAAGGCATTTTTCCCAGCTAGTGGGGTAAGATTCCCTGAATAGAGACACGGGCCTTTACAGGCTGACTGGATGAAATTTAGATTCCAGAGGTGAGACGTGATGTAAAAACAGATGTGTTCCAAATGGAACTGGAGGATTCCATGGTTGCTGTTTTGTCTCCAGGTGCATCATTTATATCAGATCACAATTTAAACATAAACGAAACTTCTGACGGTCAAGAAAAGTGTTTCTCACGTTCCACTCGCTGATTTCTTGCAAATTCCCGCTTGTACTAAATACTTCTTCCATCCTGACAAGGACTAAAGACTCACAGAGACTGACGAAAGCCACACAACAAACCTCCATCATGGAAAATGTAAGATTTCAACAATTTGAAAGTCTTCGTTGATTTTCTATGTATTTTACTGTCGAGACCTTCACAAGCCTTAAATTTGACTGATCTTTGACCAGAATGCTCTGCCATGAATAAGCTACTCCCCCAGCCCGGGGTCACATGGTACCGCAAATACCTTGGAGTGAAAATCTGGTTTAATAAGTTGCATGTAAAAGAAGCAGCCACGGACGCGCCTGTTATGAACAATGTAACGTTAGGTCATCAGTTTAATGATGCAGGCTGCCAGAACTGGACTGAATGAGAAATTACTTTTATGAAGTGCACAAGTGAGAAGATTATGTGGAGGTTGAGCAAGTAGTTTTGAGAATTTCAATTCTGATCTGAGAAATGTACCAAAGCGACTGAGAAAAACTGTAATAGCCTAATTAATTAAATGGTTTCGTGCCGCGCGCGTAAAAATGCGCACAGCGCCTCTCTCAATTTGGAGACGCACTTATTAATCCTGCTGCTGCAGTGATGACTTCAAGTAATAAGCTCGGCTATTTAATAAAGTCATAGCCTACTCTCTAATATATGCAACACTGTAGAGCAAAGTGAAAGAGACAAATTCAGCATATATGAAAGGTGATTTGTGATGTTTGGAGATGTCGGTGTGCAGTGCGCCTCCGTTATTTACGCGCCTTTTGCGCTCTCTGGAGCACTGCAGTTGCTGATGTGTGAGGGGAAATTTATTTTTGACGTGAAGAATACTCCGTCTGTAGTAAATAAGCTTTTAGGCTAATTTTGTTTATATGTCAAAATGTTGCAACAAACTTCCAATGGGCCGAACCACCCCCATAGGGAGCTTAGATCATAAAGACTGAAACCAAACAGGGTAGAGTGGCGCCCCCCAAGCTCAATGTGTATTTACTGACACATAAAATAATATTTTATAGGTTTTTTTGTATCTTGGAAATGGCTATGCTTATGGTAACATAATATAAAGTAAAATAAATACATAGGCTACAGTTGACAAATTAATTTGAATTGAATCAAATGTAAGTTTTAGGAGAAAGGCATTTTTCCCAGCTAGTGGGGTAAGATTCCCTGAATAGAGACACGGGCCTTTACAGGCTGACTGGATGAAATTTAGATTCCAGAGGTGAGACGTGATGTAAAAACAGATGTGTTCCAAATGGAACTGGAGGATTCCATGGTTGCTGTTTTGTCTCCAGGTGCATCATTTATATCAGATCACAATTTAAACATAAACGAAACTTCTGACGGTCAAGAAAAGTGTTTCTCACGTTCCACTCGCTGATTTCTTGCAAATTCCCGCTTGTACTAAATACTTCTTCCATCCTGACAAGGACTAAAGACTCACAGAGACTGACGAAAGCCACACAACAAACCTCCATCATGGAAAATGTAAGATTTCAACAATTTGAAAGTCTTCGTTGATTTTCTATGTATTTTACTGTCGAGACCTTCACAAGCCTTAAATTTGACTGATCTTTGACCAGAATGCTCTGCCATGAATAAGCTACTCCCCCAGCCCGGGGTCACATGGTACCGCAAATACCTTGGAGTGAAAATCTGGTTTAATAAGTTGCATGTAAAAGAAGCAGCCACGGACGCGCCTGTTATGAACAATGTAACGTTAGGTCATCAGTTTAATGATGCAGGCTGCCAGAACTGGATTTTTTCAGATCAATTAATATTTTATTTAAAAAAAAAACAATGCTCATTCAAGAATTAAATAATAATGTCATCTTGTTACATCCAATAAATCATTTAAATCAACAAACTCCATGCTGGGATAAACAGTGATATTGTGCTAAGTGTAGCCAGTACTTGAAGTTACCAGCAGATATGTGACAGAGTTTCATTCAGGAGGCTATATGGCTTTCTGGGGGATCTGTAGCGCTACTGGAGTCACTCTGGAGCCTGGCATTAAGTACACCACAGAAAATCTGTATGCTGGGGTTCGCCTAGCAGGGGCCCAATTGCTATTTTATTTTGCTGGCAGTTAATCTGGTTTATGGGGAAATTTTAGGGACAACAAAACTCCATGGGTTTAAAGGTGTAATACGGTGAAAAGCAAAGTCATTAGACAATTCACATTATTCAGAGGCGTTTGTTACATTTATTGTACATTTCCTTGTGCGGCCTAATTTTAAGTTGTGTCTGTATATTGTTGCAGAGTTATGTGCCCACCCAAGACCATGACTACCAGCGAAGGAGAGTCTCAGCACGCCGGGCAGAGAGCGCACAGAAGCCTGGCGCCTACAGCAAGTGTCCATGCTGCAGAGACGACCAGGTCAGACATTTTTCCTATTTTGGAAAAAAGAAAGTGTTATCTCCTGAATCCTTCACAATGTAATAGTTGAGAACTAGAGAATGAGACAGCTTTACAAAGTGGAAAACAAAAAAATTACGATATTCTCAATAGTCTAGGCTACAGTACAGACATATTGCAGTGCTTACTCGTCGTTTTTTTAGTGTCAACTTCAAGTTAATTGTCCTTGAATTTAAATTCTTCTTTTAGCCAGGTGAAAAATAAAATAAAGGTTGCGTCTCTAAAATCCCATAAAACGGACAGAATAAATAAAGGGTTTGTTAATATGACACAGTAGTCCTCTGCAGTGCATCTGATGTAAATGTTTCTCCGGTGAGATTATAAAAGTACTTGGTTGAGTAAGATGTTTCCTGGAGCCTGACACCCTCTCGGGTGTTGCTGACCTTCCTCAGATGCCGAATTTACACCTAAAGCGCCAGCACTCTGCTACTACTGCCGACCTTCCCCAGAAGAGGAAGCGGACTGCTGTGGCCCGTCGTTTCAAACCTTCCGCTGAACATCCAGGGTTGCTGAATTTGGTCCCCACTCCTCAGCCCTCCACCCCGTCTTCTGACATTACAGGGTTGCTGAATTTGGTCCCCACTCCTCAGCCCTCCACCCCGTCTTCTGACATTACAGGGTTGCTGAATTTAGTCCCAACACCTCAGTCCACTATCCCACCCGCTGACCTTCCAGTCGTCTCAAATGTGGCCCCCAGCCTCGAGCCCTCCGCTGCTCCACCGCAACACGACGGCAGCCCTCTGAGAATCCACAACCGTTCGGTGGAAGAGTACCAGCGAATCTACCATGAAGTGGTAGATGATATGCTGAGGTGTGTTTGAGTCAAAAACTCTTTCAAATCAGGTAATCACTCCGTTTTTCCACATATGAGCTTTTTCATCACATGTTTTCATTTTGGTTTCTTCCGCTCCTCAAAGGTTCAAAAATGGCCGGACTCGTCCGTACAGTTTAGAGCTCGGGCGTCGTATTAAGCAGAAGCTGTGGGAGAGACTGGATCGCCCCATGATCACGGAATCAGTCAATGAAGATGGACTTGTTCATGTCGAAGTATCGTACGGAGCTGGTGTCTATCCTACCCTTTATGATGTTGATATATCGGGAGAACCAGAGCCAGCAAAGAAGAGAGCTAAGACAAACAACTAGAACAAAAGCATCAGAAATGATGCAACCTGTAAATAATACTGTAGTTTTAAGTCATTTTAATAAGTTCCACAGTTCTAAGTATCTTCAGTAAATCAGTTCAGTAAGTATAATCAGTAAATCCAGCCGCAACCTAAATCACCTGCCAGGACACAAACTGCCTCTGCAAACCAGCTGAAGTGCCACGTTCCATCCTCCACCTTCAGCCTCCTCCAGACGCTTCCTCTAACATCCACCTGAAGCCTCTTTCAGCCAGATGGAGAGCCTCTCTCACCACCTAGTCTCTTTCACTCAGCTCCAACCTCTGCCTCCAACATTTCAGTCTCCACCAGTCTCTGGTGGACCATCAATCTCCATCAGTCTCTGCCTGCAGCTTTTAACGTCTAACTGCTGCACCCGCCTCCATCTGCAGATTCTGGAAGACAGCTACATACTGTACATATCTCCACCTATAACTTATGAAGTGCCGTGCTCCATCCTCCGACACCAGCAGACCAAAACATGCTCCACCTAAGTCCTCTGACTTTGGCACCTATGACAAGTAAAGAACATATTTACAGTTTTAACAGTTGTTTCTGCCAGAGCCCTGCAGGTGCTGCCTCCACCTGCAGATTCTGTCAGACAGCTGAGGATCAAACCTCCATTACAGCCTGCAGCTTCCACCTCCACCCCCAGACTGTAACAGTTGTTTCTGCCAGAGCCCTGCAGGTGCTGCCTCCACCTGCAGATTCTGACAGACAGCTGAGGATCAAACCTCCACTTACAGCCGCTACGTCAGCCTGCAGCTTCCACCTCCACCCCCAGACTGTAACAGTTGTTTCTGCCAGAGCCCTGCAGGTGCTGCCTCCACCTGCAGATTCTGACAGACAGCTGAGGATCAAACCTCCACTTACAGCCGCTACGTCAGCCTGCAGCTTCCACCTCCACCCCCAGACTGTAACAGTTGTTTCTGCCAGAGCCCTGCAGGTGCTGCCTCCACCTGCAGATTCTGACAGACAGCTGAGGATCAAACCTCCACTTACAGCCGCTACGACAGCCTGCAGCTTCCACCTCCACCCCCAGACTGTAACAGTTGTTTCTGCCAGAGCCCTGCAGGTGCTGCCTCCACCTGCAGATTCTGTCAGACAGCTGAGGATCAAACCTCCACTTACAGCCGCTACGTCAGCCTGCAGCTTCCACCTCCACCCCCAGACTGTAACAGTTGTTTCTGCCAGAGCCCTGCAGGTGCTGCCTCCACCTGCAGATTCTGACAGACAGCTGAGGATCAAACCTCCACTTACAGCCGCTACGTCAGCCTGCAGCTTCCACCTCCACCCCCAGACTGTAACAGTTGTTTCTGCCAGAGCCCTGCAGGTGCTGCCTCCACCTGCAGATTCTGACAGACAGCTGAGGATCAAACCTCCACTTACAGCCGCTACGTCAGCCTGCAGCTTCCACCTCCACCCCCAGACTGTAACAGTTGTTTCTGCCAGAGCCCTGCAGGTGCTGCCTCCACCTGCAGATTCTGACAGACAGCTGAGGATCAAACCTCCACTTACAGCCGCTACGTCAGCCTGCAGCTTCCACCTCCACCCCCAGACTGTAACAGTTGTTTCTGCCAGAGCCCTGCAGGTGCTGCCTCCACCTGCAGATTCTGACAGACAGCTGAGGATCAAACCTCCACTTACAGCCGCTACGTCAGCCTGCAGCTTCCACCTCCACCCCCAGACTGTAACAGTTGTTTCTGCCAGAGCCCTGCAGGTGCTGCCTCCACCTGCAGATTCTGACAGACAGCTGAGGATCAAACCTCCACTTACAGCCGCTACAGCCTGCAGCTTCCACCTCCACCCCCAGACTGTAACAGTTGTTTCTGCCAGAGCCCTGCAGGTGCTGCCTCCACCTGCAGATTCTGACAGACAGCTGAGGATCAAACCTCCACTTACAGCCGCTACGTCAGCCTGCAGCTTCCACCTCCACCCCCAGACTGTAACAGTTGTTTCTGCCAGAGCCCTGCAGGTGCTGCCTCCACCTGCAGATTCTGACAGACAGCTGAGGATCAAACCTCCACTTACAGCCGCTACGTCAGCCTGCAGCTTCCACCTCCACCCCCAGACTGTAACAGTTGTTTCTGCCAGAGCCCTGCAGGTGCTGCCTCCACCTGCAGATTCTGACAGACAGCTGAGGATCAAACCTCCACTTACAGCCGCTACGTCAGCCTGCAGCTTCCACCTCCACCCCCAGACTGTAACAGTTGTTTCTGCCAGAGCCCTGCAGGTGCTGCCTCCACCTGCAGATTCTGACAGACAGCTGAGGATCAAACCTCCACTTACAGCCGCTACGACAGCCTGCAGCTTCCACCTCCACCCCCAGACTGTAACAGTTGTTTCTGCCAGAGCCCTGCAGGTGCTGCCTCCACCTGCAGATTCTGGCAGACAGCTGAGGATCAAACCTCCACTTACAGCCGCTACGTCAGCCTGCAGCTTCCACCTCCACCCCCAGCAGACTGTAACAGTTGTTTCTGCCAGAGCCCTGCAGGTGCTGCCTCCACCTGCAGATTCTGGCAGACAGCTGAGGATCAAACCTCCACTTACAGCCGCTACGTCAGCCTGCAGCTTCCACCTCCACCCCCAGCAGACTGTAACAGTTGTTTCTGCCAGAGCCCTGCAGGTGCTGCCTCCACCTGCAGATTCTAGCAGACAGCTGAGGATCAAACCTCCACTTACAGCCGCTACGTCAGCCTGCAGCTTCCACCTCCACCCCCAGACTGTAACAGTTGTTTCTGCCAGAGCCCTGCAGGTGCTGCCTCCACCTGCAGATTCTGCAGACAGCTGAGGATCAAACCTCCACTTACAGCCGCTACGTCAGCCTGCAGCTTCCACCTCCACCCCCAGACTGTAACAGTTGTTTCTGCCAGAGCCCTGCAGGTGCTGCCTCCACCTGCAGATTCTGGCAGACAGCTGAGGATCAAACCTCCACTTACAGCCGCTACGTCAGCCTGCAGCTTCCACCTCCACCCCCAGACTGTAACAGTTGTTTCTGCCAGAGCCCTGCAGGTGCTGCCTCCACCTGCAGATTCTGGCAGACAGCTGAGGATCAAACCTCCACTTACAGCCGCTACGTCAGCCTGCAGCTTCCACCTCCACCCCCAGACTGTAACAGTTGTTTGCCAGAGCCCTGCAGGTGCTGCCTCCACCTGCAGATTCTGACAGACAGCTGAGGATCAAACCTCCACTTACAGCCGCTACGTCAGCCTGCAGCTTCCACCTCCACCCCCAGACTGTAACAGTTGTTTCTGCCAGAGCCCTGCAGGTGCTGCCTCCACCTGCAGATTCTGGCAGACAGCTGAGGATCAAACCTCCACTTACAGCCGCTACGTCAGCCTGCAGCTTCCACCTCCACCCCCAGACTGTAACAGTTGTTTCTGCCAGAGCCCTGCAGGTGCTGCCTCCACCTGCAGATTCTGGCAGACAGCTGAGGATCAAACCTCCACTTACAGCCGCTACGACAGCCTGCAGCTTCCACCTCCACCCCCAGACTGTAACAGTTGTTTCTGCCAGAGCCCTGCAGGTGCTGCCTCCACCTGCAGATTCTGGCAGACAGCTGAGGATCAAACCTCCACTATAGCCGCTACACAGCCTGCAGCTTCCACCTCCACCCCCGACTGTAACAGTTGTTTCTGCCAGAGCCCTGCAGGTGCTGCCTCCACCTGCAGATTCTGGCAGACAGCTGAGGATCAAACCTCCACTTACAGCCGCTACGACAGCCTGCAGCTTCCACCTCCACCCCAGACTGTAACAGTTGTTTCTGCCAGAGCCCTGCAGGTGCTGCCTCCACCTGCAGATTCTGGCAGACAGCTGAGGATCAAACCTCCACTTACAGCCGCTACGTCAGCCTGCAGCTTCCACCTCCACCCCAGACTGTAACAGTTGTTTCTGCCAGAGCCCTGCAGGTGCTGCCTCCACCTGCAGATTCTGGCAGACAGCTGAGGATCAAACCTCCACTTACAGCCGCTACGTCAGCCTGCAGCTTCCACCTCCACCCCCAGACTGTAACAGTTGTTTCTGCCAGAGCCCTGCAGGTGCTGCCTCCACCTGCAGATTCTGCAGACAGCTGAGGATCAAACCTCCACTTACAGCCGCTACGTCAGCCTGCAGCTTCCACCTCCACCCCCAGACTGTAACAGTTGTTTCTGCCAGAGCCCTGCAGGTGCTGCCTCCACCTGCAGATTCTGGCAGACAGCTGAGGATCAAACCTCCACTTACAGCCGCTACACAGCCTGCAGCTTCCACCTCCACCCCCAGACTGTAACAGTTGTTTCTGCCAGAGCCCTGCAGGTGCTGCCTCCACCTGCAGATTCTGCAGACAGCTGAGGATCAAACCTCCACTTACAGCCGCTACGTCAGCCTGCAGCTTCCACCTCCACCCCCAGACTGTAACAGTTGTTTCTGCCAGAGCCCTGCAGGTGCTGCCTCCACCTGCAGATTCTGACAGACAGCTGAGGATCAAACCTCCACTTACAGCCGCTACGAGCCTGCAGCTTCCACCTCCACCCCCAGACTGTAACAGTTGTTTCTGCCAGAGCCCTGCAGGTGCTGCCTCCACCTGCAGATTCTGCAGACAGCTGAGGATCAAACCTCCACTTACAGCCGCTACGTCAGCCTGCAGCTTCCACCTCCACCCCCAGACTGTAACAGTTGTTTCTGCCAGAGCCCTGCAGGTGCTGCCTCCACCTGCAGATTCTGCAGACAGCTGAGGATCAAACCTCCACTTACAGCCGCTACGTCAGCCTGCAGCTTCCACCTCCACCCCCAGACTGTAACAGTTGTTTCTGCCAGAGCCCTGCAGGTGCTGCCTCCACCTGCAGATTCTGTCAGACAGCTGAGGATCAAACCTCCACTTATAGCCGCTATCAGCAGCCTGCAGCTTCCACCTCCACCCCCAGACTTTAACAGTTGTTTCTGCCAGAGCCCTGCAGGTCTGCCTCCACCTGCAGATCTGGCAGACAGCTGAGGATCAAACCTCCACTTACAGCCGCTACGTCAGCCTGCAGCTTCCACCTCCACCCCAGACTGTAACAGTTGTTTCTGCCAGAGCCCTGCAGGTGCTGCCTCCACCTGCAGATTCTGGCAGACAGCTGAGGATCAAACCTCCACTTACAGCCGCTACGTCAGCCTGCAGCTTCCACCTCCACCCCCAGACTGTAACAGTTGTTTCTGCCAGAGCCCTGCAGGTCTGCCTCCACCTGCAGATTCTGGCAGACAGCTGAGGATCAAACCTCCACTTACAGCCGCTACGACAGCCTGCAGCTTCCACCTCCACCCCCAGACTGTAACAGTTGTTTCTGCCAGAGCCCTGCAGGTGCTGCCTCCACCTGCAGATTCTGGCAGACAGCTGAGGATCAAACCTCCACTTACAGCCGCTACGTCAGCCTGCAGCTTCCACCTCCACCCCCAGACTGTAACAGTTGTTTCTGCCAGAGCCCTGCAGGTGCTGCCTCCACCTGCAGATTCTGGCAGACAGCTGAGGATCAACCTCCCTTACAGCCGCTACGTCAGCCGCAGCTTCCACCTCCACCCCCAGACTGTAACAGTTGTTTCTGCCAGAGCCCTGCAGGTGCTGCCTCCACCTGCAGATTCT